GTGTGGCTGGTATACGCCACAGAGTGTGTGGGAATAGGTAGGCAAAGTGTGTGTTTATGTGTGTTTGAAAGGGCTATAGCTTCATAGTGGTGTGTGTGTGTGTGTGTGTGTGTGTGTGTGTGTGTGTGTGTGTGTGTGTGTGTGTGTGTGTGTGTGTGTGTGTGTGTGTGTGTGTGTGTGTGTGTGTGTGTGTGTGTGTGTGTGTGTGTGTGTGTGTGTGTGTGTGTGTGTGTGTGTGTGTGTGTGTGTGTGTGTGAAGAGATGCCCAGATGAAAGAATTATGTTTTATCTAAAGGTGAAAAAAGTAAAAGAACCGAGTCGAGACAAGCGATCAAAACTCAATGCACCTAAAGCAGCATGGTTAGTGTGTGAGGGTGTGTGCATGCACTTGTGTGACAGTATTTGTGCGTCAGAGTGTGTTCTGTGCTGGAGTCACTGGATGACGATGGAGACAACAGGTTTATATAACTACTCGCTCCCTTTGTTGGAGAAAAAACATGTGAAAAAAGGACCATGGGATGGTAGAGGAAATATGCTCAGAGATAGCGGGAGGGAGATGGAAGATGGTGCATTGAGACCGAAAATGAGGAGGTTATAGTGAGACACAGAGGTAAGAGCAGGGTTAAACTCTTAAGGAGGATTAGGAGAGAGCAAAAAATGAGAAGTTGGAGGTGCCATATTAAGCTTTTTTCTTTTTTTTCTTTCCTGTAGTGTGTTATAACAAAGTCCCTCTGCATGTAAATGGTCTGCAAAGGCTAAAATCTCACATTTCCCTCCAGAGGGAGTTCCTCTCCCACACACTCCCCCCCCCCCACGCCTTCATTGGACTCCTTTTTTTCCTTCCATAACATCACTTGCCCTTCTATTGGCCATCGCTGCAACACATTTTAGGTGATAGAGTAAGTGGCAGGACATCTTGAAGCGGTTTAACAATCAAAATATAGCCTAAACTGCACTACATTCATTTTACATTATCACCATTCAGTTTCTAGTTTATAAAAATACACTCTTAAACTAAGGCAATGTCCTGAACGCAGGTATTTTTGTAAGGGTTTCATCATTCTTCGGTTTGAAAAAAATGTGGAAAAAAGATAATAACAAAGTTAACCTAATACATGAGGAGACGGCTTAAGTCTTCCTACTTTTTCCTTTGTAGCATATGCCCCGCAAATATCATGTATTTGAGTTTCCAACTTTTCCCAGAAAGCTTTTCAACAAATCCCAGAAACCTGCTTGCTTTCAGGGCAACAAGTATGTTTGTATAAGTATAGCAGACATTTAGACTTGTAACAGTAGGAAAAGCACAGGATTAAATGAAGTATAATTCAATTAATGATGAATGAATTAGCTTTAACTGCTTTGATATCGTACTGTATGCCTGTTATTAAGCATACTGGTTCACTTTCTCTCCACCAGAACACATACGAATTGAAGAGAACCATCGTTATTGTTATTGGTACCACCTGTGGTTTTCATACTATGAAAAGTCAAAATGAAAATGACTGCTGCTGGAAAGGTCACAAGAGGTACAGTTACAGTTATATGAGGTATTTTTGAAATGATCAAAGCAATCAAAGCACAGGTGCAACGGATAACGCTAACGAGGGCTTTCATCTTACTTGGCCAGCTGGCTAGCCCATTTTAATGTAATTAGATACACCTGTGTTATCTAAGTCAAGCTGTAGCATAACTAGAGGTCGACCCAAAATGGTGAGTTTAAGACATGCTAAGAAAAACTCTGATATTTAGCATTTACGGTATATATAGTGAGACAAAAATCTTGGGAATTCAGTGGCAACAGGTCGTAAAAAACCCTGCTTACATTTGTAGCCATGCTAGCATTTGGTTTGTGACCAATTACCATGGATGTATAATAATAAGCGGGGTCTCGTTCTTTCCTATGAGAGCTGCTCATTGGCACATGAGGACAAAATGGCCCAACTTTTGAGAGAGCGAAACGTCACAGATTACCCATCATGCCTAGCTGTCAGAGCAGAAGAACCCGTATTTGCGCTCACAGAGCATGCGCCCCTTAAGCCCCGCCCCCCGAGCTCCCACTCTCAGTAGAATGAATGGAGACAGAAAATAAATCTAGAATCGGCTTTTAGTGCATTTTACAACTTTAAGGACCTAATGATTCTAATAAGGGCTATAAAATAGTTAATACTGGGTAGTTTAATTAGTTTAAAAAAAGGTATCCGCTGATTTACAGACGTCTCTTTCCCAATGTTAGTCAATGGGGAAAAGTCTTTCTGGGCCCAGTGACGTCACGGACTGATACGGAAATTGTAGTACCGCCGTTTGGACAAAACGAATATTTTCATCAGAGTCCGGCGCACTTCCGGGGGCTTGCCAATTACCTGCAAAACTAATAACATTTTCACTAGCTTTAGCTCTAATTTTGGTTTAGAGCTAATTAGTAAATGGTAGCATGCTAACACGCTAAACTGAGATGGTGGACATTGTTAACATTACACCTGCAAAACATCAGCAGATTGTCACTGTGAGTGTGTTCAAACCAACAGTCTATGGTTCAAACAGGCATTTAACGTTAGCTCAAAACTCAAGTAGCTTCACCACTGCTAGCATTATTTTAGTCTTTTAATCTTGTCGCCAGAAAGATTGAATTTGATTTGATGTGATTTTTGGCGATGACAACACCAGTGACAAGCCTGCTGTCATCCACATCTTATTGGACATCTGAGCTCGTTCGCCCACATAGAAGCTCGCCCTAGTTTAATAGCCCAGGGGAAAAGTTACATCACATCTGGTGTATTGATGAAATTGAAAGAGATCAGCGGCTTATGGTACAAAACGATGGGTCACGGTGTCACAGTCTATACATACAAACAGCCCAGTCAGGTACTAGCAGGGTGTCACTGCATCACAGCCTGTGTCTCTCGATTCCTGGTACCATTTCAAATTAATCCGATCTTATCATTTCACAGTCTGGCGGCCATCGAGACAGGCAATTATGTAACACTTCCTCTAATTTTTGAGGTTTTATCAACGAAAAAGCAAGGAAATAGGGAACAGAAATGTCAGGAAATTATATCTGAGCTGGTGGCTAAATCTACAGTAAACCTTGTATTGATGAGAACAGGCTGAAACACACCCACTGTTATCTGTCCTGCAGCTAAATCAATCTCATCTAGGTCATTCACTGCCAGCTGACTGCCACGATGTGTGTGTGTGTGTGTGTGGGTGTGTGTGTGTGTGTGTGTGTGTGGGTGGGTGTGTGTGTGTGTGCAGCATGGACCAGTTGTCAATGTAAATGAGATGCTGGGGCCTTAAAACAGGTGGAAAATCAATACTACCACGTCAGTTGTTAACACGTCTTGTTTTTAATTTTAGCTGGACATGTACTATAGTCGTTGCAGTGATGTCCTGTTTCATACTCGCAGTAACAATCATTCACCCCATTCCATATGCATTCCTCTACATTCACTATACTAAGAGATGCAGGTGGTTAAATGGAGGTCTCTTCGCTCTTTCTATATTTTCAGATCAAATGACTCAGGAAGTCATACAATTTAATACCTTAAATGCATCTTGGATAACTTTGAGAAATGAAATGAATCCAAGAATCGCAGATGATGATCTTCCAAAATCCCTTTGAAAGCAAAAGTCTTAAGATGAGTCAGAACTCAGCAACTGTGCTTGCTTTCAATGCCAGCACTTTTCTTCCCCAAATGGGAGCTATATCTCTTTTTGGAAAGGAACACTTTAAATTCAAATATTGAACGTCATTCTCTGTGTTGAGTGTTTGCTGTATATAGTGCTGGTTTATGAAATGATGATCCTTCTGCTGTTCCGTATACAGCATTTGCATAACTTGCTCCAGATAAAAATGAATCTCAAAATGGAGCATGTATCATCACTTTTGCATGTGAAGGCAAGCCGTTTATGTATAAACAAAAACCTCTACATGCATTTGCATCAATGGATGATCTTCAGATTAACATTTTACATTCACTGTAAGTATGACATACGCAATTGCTAAGGTACAAAAATAAATTCTCCATTAAAAATATTCTATTTAAATATTTGATACAGAAAAGCAGCTTTCAAAGTCGAATTTAACGATGTAATTTAACTGCACTTTAGGCAGAAATGTTCAGGCCGTTGAGATAAATATAAATGAGGTTAAAATAATAACCTAAATCATATAAGCAAATGATTGGTTATTGTGCAGGATATTACTGATAATACAAATGGCGGTTAATGGATTATTTTAGCTTTTATAAACTTTACCTTAACTGTTGGTCTATTCTATATAGAATAAACATATTGATGTCTAATGGGGCGGCACACTTCGGAACACTCTTGCATTGCTGAGGTGTCCTTGAGCAAGGCACCATAACTGCCACCTGGTACAGTCAAAGCTTCTTTGAACATTAGGAAAAGCGCTATACAAATCAAATGTATTATTATTACAGGAAAACCTGGAAGCTCTGGCACCTCTATAACAAATGCATGTGTTTTCTCAGATTGCAATGTGTGTATTAGTACTGTGTACTGGTGAATTCAAACCAACAATTAATAAAGGGTCTTCTTCTGTTTTAAATTGACATTGTTCTTCTTGTATTACATTAGGTATTGATATTTATTTCCCCTTGTATTCAATTGCATTGTATTATACAAACGTAATGGAAGGTAATCAGGTTACATTCCTTTAAATGTGCTGCTTATAATAGATTCATTTTTTCTCCACAGGTAACTATTGATTGTAATGGATTTAAAAAGTGAACACCTCTCAACCCTTCAAAGCAACACATCTCTCTCTCTCTCTAATGATAGCGAGAGAGGAGAGAGAGATATAGAGAGCATGAGAGAGAGATATGAGTGACTCTCGATAGCTCTCATCATATCTCTCTCTCGTCTCTCTCTCTCTCTCTCTCTCTCTCTCTCTCTCTCTCTCTCTCTCTCTCTCTCTCTCTCTCTCTCTCTCTCTTTGCTCTCTCTCCGCCTCTCCCTCCCACCCCGGTAGTCGCTAGTTCTGTGAGCGTTCAGAAGAAAAGGAGGAAGCGGAGGGAGAGCAGCGCGGCGGCAGCTCGTCTGAAAAGCCAAACAAACTACCGAAAGACAACCACCAGCTGATCGCTTCTCCACAGTTTCTACCCCCTCTACTCGGAGCAGCGCCCGGAGAAAAGACTTCTGCAACCCCGGAGGCGCGAACTAACTTAGCGTCGGTTCGTTAAAGTCAGAAATAAGAGACAGCTTCTCAGACCGGGAGAATGGCAGACTCGGCGGCGGCCAGCAGCGACGGGGAGGACGGAGGTCGCGAGGAGCCCATGCGGGGCTTCGCGCGCCAGGGAGCCCTCCGCCAAAAGAACGTGCACGAGGTGAAGGACCACAAATTCATCGCGCGCTTCTTCAAGCAGCCCACCTTCTGCAGCCACTGCACCGACTTCATCTGGTGAGTGAGGGGAGGAAACATGATTTCATTTCAGTTAGTTTATTGCTATTGTTGGTGCTGTCATGGAATAAAGTAGGTACATAAATTGAAAGATGTAGGATATATAGTCTAATCTATAGATATATAGATTAGGTTTCATTTGAATTATATTAGATGTACTTAATTGAGTACAAATTGGGATTTTTTATTTATTACAGCAGCATATAAAAAAGGCACATCAATTAAAAATAAACTTAAAGAAGGTAAATATATTCACGTTAACAGTAGAAAGATATATATATAGCGTTCACAATATACAAACATACAGAATAAGTTAGAATACACTATAATAGACTAACCTACTACTAAATATGCTATACATATAAGATATATTCATTCTAAAGCTTGCTAACTAGTTGCAAATGTAGTTAATAATGTAGATTATTCAAGTATATTCATTAGAAGGTGCAACAAGAAATTGAATATAAAGTTATGTTTTGTTCATGATTCAATGACAATTTTAATGGAAAAACTTGAGAGAGATGGAGCGATTAGGCCTATTTATATTAAAAAAAAAGAAGACAAAATGGCTGTAGTGTTTGATAGTAGGCTAGGAAGGATAAAGAAAGTGGGAGGTTCTGCACTGGTTGCAGATTCCTCAAAATAAACATTGATTTCAGTGTTATTCATGTACTGTACTTGTTGATGCTATATGTGTGTTAGGTAGGGCAGGAGGAAAGACCTAGAGATATGTGGGCTGCACAAGTGTAAGAAAGGGAAAGCTGCAGGCCAATGTTTGATGGTATTAGGTAGGAAGAGGAACTGAGAAAAAACAAACATTGAATGGCGGCCAACAACCAAAAGTGTCTCACATGGGTCAAAACTCAACTTGAGCCTTCCTCTTCCTGCTCCTCTTCCTTCTCTCTATATGTTCTCCCATTAATAACCTGTGCAGACATGTCACCATGCAACCCACCAGGGTTTACTAGACAGTGACTGCGCCGGGTTATCAAATTAATTTCCGGCTCTAGGTTGGCCTAATTTGTCCCGTTTATTATTATCTGTGCTGTGCACTATTCCCAAAATGGCCATTATTTAACTCCTGTGATGGGTTTTTAATTTGTTGAATGGCTAAATGATATGACCTAAAAGATTGTGTTTGTGTGTGTGTGTGTGTGTGTGTGTTCATGGGAATCTTATGGGATGATCTCACTGGTTGTTATAAACTAAATAGATGAACACTGGGGTATTTCTTAAACCGTTCACATTATCAAAGTCTATTTATCTGGGTCATTAGTTATAATTAAAAGAACATGTTTGATTTTCCCGCCCCACAGAACAGTTTATGGTGTGTTTGTGGACATAACTCAACCTCAGTGCATCTATTCTACTGTTCACACAACAATCAAAAGTCCTCCCTGCCTGCATACTTCAGTGTTTGTGTTTAGGTGGGTTCTTTTGGAAAAAGCTTTAGCGTTGCACACAAATGGCAGACAGTATCTGACATTGCTTCTACGCACATGTCTTGAGGCAAAGAGAGAGTTTTAGGATTCATTTTCTAAGGTGTGTGTGTGTATGAACTGCTGTGACTGTACAATGTTCAACCTGTTTTTTTGTTTATGTTTTATCCACAGGGGTTTTGGCAAGCAGGGATTCCAGTGTCAAGGTACGTGGATTACACACACACACACACGCATTATTAGCTGGTGCTCCGTTGCTTGATGATCAGAGATTACCTTCTCTAATCCTTTTTTCTAGTCTCCTTTGTCATACATGTTTATTTGTCTTTCTCTCCACCTCTCTGCTACTGTCTACATATCACTTTCCCTTTACTTCCTTTATTTCAATGCGAGCTCTCTTAGCTCTTGTTCCGGATTCAAAAGTCACAAATTATTTAAAATAAAGTAGAAAAAGGCATTTAAGAAGAATGAGGGCATGCCATTATTTATTCAGTCTTTCCTTTTTAACTGGGTTTAATACAACTATTTACCAAAACTATAAATCTTGATTCAATCGTCATAAGCTCAACACATTGAAAGCTTGCACCAAAAGAAATGCTGAAAAGAAAGAACAGACAACTGATTTCCTACGTTATAAAATATTGGTGAGATGTGCAGGCTTGGATATTAAAAATGATTTATTTGGAGAAGATAATGTGAGTTGAAGATAAATGTACCTGTGGGTTTATCATATAAAGAGAGCGATTCAAGATAAGTGGTGAGCCTCTGTGGGGAATCACATGTTGCAGCAGAAGAAGAAGAAGAAGAAGTCTGGTAGTGGAGGCAGGACTTTGTTCAGTGGAGCATACTGAAGGTTATATTTAGGTATCGATAGTTGGAGGGTGACCAAGGAAGTGGAAGGAAGTGAGTCAGCATGAAACAGTGCTGTATAATAGTAACTCCATTTCTTTTTAAACGCATCAAATGTATAATCAATTGGGGCTTTTTCACAATTTCATAGCAGGAAAAGTACAAGTACAGCTCTATAGAGTGGTTAAAGTGGACCTATCATGCTATATTTGAATAATATAGTGTAGGACCATACCTATATAAGGCATATTTATACTTTTTTTTTTTCAAAATACCAAACAGATCATGCATTTTAGCCATGCCTCATTTTGCTCAATTTGACATTTTTAGCTCTGTTTTTGCAAGGGCAGATTCAGTGAGAACAGCACCATCTAGAGGCCTGGCATATGCACTACAGCGTCTCCAGCGCTTTCGAACGGCAATGGCCGTGGCTGTCTCCTCCTGATTGGTGGAGTTGGCCCAATAGCCGTAGCGCCACCGTCCTGACGTCAGGACAGTGTTCAAATCTGGATCAGTTTTTATCAGATCCGTTGCAGCCCCTTTTTTAGAGATTTGGGTATGGAGGAAAATAGAGAGGGTTGTGTTTTCTGACACTTGGTGAGTTCCCTGGAACACCGGGGACACATATTCATGTATAAAAGACGTACAAAAGTGCATTTTGCATGATAGGTCCCCTTTAAGTAATGAGTCCTAAAACCCAGAAAAGATGTAGCAGTTTACCACTTCCTAGTCCCTCTTCTTGTGTTTTTGGTAAGAAGCCTGAAATAAGGACTGTGGTTAATACAAGCTTAAGAGAATGTCACATTTTGTTCTACGACATAATATACCACACTGGTGAATGTCCGACACTGTTATGTGTCATCATCAAAGCTGTGGTTGCCAACAAGTGACTAAATAAACTATGAGTCCAGCTTTAGCTTAGCGGTGGAGATGCACAGCCATGCAACCGTGATGTCTGTTCATAGCCTAATGCTAGCTACTTCAAAGGTCACAGAGTGGCATTAAATGTGTAAATTATCCTTCTGAACAAAATGTGGTAAATATCTTAAATTTGTGTTCGCCACAAATAAAATGTTCTGGAATATTCCAAAATCCAATGGGGTAATCCTAGTGCTTTTTGTCAAGAGAGCCCTTGTGGTGCTAACTTTCGGTTATACATATAGTTCATCACTATACTGCTCTATTCTGATTAAGTGTTCAAATAAACCACTGCATTGAGACAGTTAAACAAGTATGCACAATACCAGGATCTGCTAAATAATTCTTCATTATTGTTTGTTTACATCTCTGCATTTTGTTTAAAAATGTCTTCTGTGAGAAAAGCCAATTGTGTACTTGAGAGACAAGCAAGCAAGAAACAGTTAAATTGTGTGCACCCCTCCATGGAGGATACAGCTTGAGACAAAAAGTGTTCATTTTGTATCAGTTCATCACTTCCTGAAATGATAACACGTAGTGTGACATCCGATTTTGTGGCTGTGGGTGGTTTCATCTACTCAGAAAAGATTGCCTCTACTCTAGGCACTGTTGCACTTATGAGAAAATAGCTTTTTCTGAACTAATTTCCACCGTTTGAGACAGATTCAGCTTGCTCTTTATGGGCAACTATGGCTATGCATTGAATCTGTTCAATCTGTTCATACGATAGGTATTGTATAAGAGGGCTTTAGATTCAATACATTTGGGTTATGTAAGGATTGGGTCTGCATTTGCATTTACCACAGTCTTTGTAAAACCCAACATAGAATGAACCATTGTCTGCCAACCTTTCTTCATATAAACTATTCATTAAAACCAATACAGTTCATATGTCAAAACTCAAGTGTATCTATATTTTCTTACACCCCCGAGCCGCCACAGGGAATGACATAAGCTTTCAGAAAAATAAATCAAGTTGTCAAAAATGCATTAGGGCTTTTTTTTTACATCAGTTTGCTTAAAATCAATGTCTTTTCCACTTGTATTAACAGCTAACTGCATGTGTTCAAGGATTTGTACGTCTCCTAGCAACAGTGAGTTATTAAGACGCAGCCGTCTATATGCTGTGGGATGGACGAGCTGCTGTTCAGCTCAGCAGTGGGTTGGATGGTAATTGGCCGGTGTGTGTATCGTGTCCTTTAGAGGAAGCATCCGCTGCACTGTAGGGACCCTCAGGGGAGGAAGGGTGTGTGGGTGAAGGTGATGGGGCACCTATTGTACTCTGACACCAGGGAGGAGGAAACATTGATAGAAGTGTATAGAAGACTGGGGAAGAGGAAAGGAGAATTATCCAGATTTCCCTACAGTAGAGTGCTGCAGGAATGAGTCCTTAAACACAGAAATGAGCGAGCATTAAAGGACTTCCAGGTTCCCTGTTGTTAAAGTCAATGTTTTTGGTTGAAGTAAGATCAGTTTTTAATACAAGATTTTCAATATCGTCATTAAATACCCCCACTTGAATTTCCGAATCCTATATTTTTCTACAAAGCAGCAATAGCTAATAAATGAATAAAATAATCACGCCGACCATTAGCCGCCTTTAGCTTAGCGATGGAGACGTGAAGTAATGTGATGTAGTTTGTTTGTAGCCTAACTTTAGCTTATGATGTCTGGGGATTGCATTTATGCTTAAAAAAAAATCATAAAAGTAGTATTAATATGTGGAGATTATCCTGCTGAACAAAATATGCGACTATCATAAACGTCTGTTTGCCATGGATCCTATTTACTGCGATATTCCAAAATCCCATGGAAAATCCCTTTTTTTGTCAAAGGAGCCCTTGAGACACTAAAACATGTCATCACTGCACCACTCTATAGTGCCCAAAATCATGTACGTATGTGTTTTTGAGAGAGAGAATGATCTAGGCCAGGGGTGTCAAACTAAATTTCATCGCGGGCCACATTCGCATAAAGGTTGCACTCAAAGGGCCGGTTGTAACTACATAAATATATAATATATATATATAAAATAATGTATTGTATTATATTATTGCCTCTGAATTGGATTATTATCGGATAGGATAATAACTTAGTAATTAACTACAAAGCAGAAGTCTAGGGCAAATAATTGCAAGTCTCTTCAGTGCATGTCACAAAACGAGATGCATTGTGGGACATGTAGTTTATGGGCAACCTGCTTCTGTAAAGTGGCATGTAACCGTATAATAAACGTATTATATTCTTTGCAAGCTCTTGCAGGGCCACATAAAACGAAGTCGCGGGCCGGATTTGGCTCCCGGGCCTTGAGTTTGAGACCCCTGATCTAGGCAGATAGGCAACAGTTTGCTTCGTCCATTAAGTTTGTTTGTGTGTGCTTGTGTGTTTGTCCTAAGTTAGTCTCCAACCAATTTGTCCGTCTGGAGCAGGGTATCATTTCCCTAGAGCTCAGGGAGAAAGGGAATTCCTCTGCAAGGGCACACACGCACGCACGCACGCACTCACGCACGCACACACATACACTCCTCAGTAAAGTGAAATCAGTTTTTAGGTGTGCTTTGCCTCTGGGGTTGTGTTTGTTTGACAGTCACATAGTTCTTCTCACACAAGTCAATTGAGGTGGATGTGTGTATGCAGCTTGATGCACAGTTTATGGTTAGGTGAATTTATATCTGCTTTGTTTATTATTATATGAATAATTCAGGATTTGAGAGAAATAGTGTTTACTGACGGTGTGTTTACATGTCTTTCAATGAAAGGGGATATCATGAATAAGACGCTGGGGATGTGTTTATTATAGCTCGTCTGTTTAATGTGAGTTTAGGGGAGTGGACAAGTCTTTACTATCTCACAAGGTGCTTCAACTTTCTCTGTGAGTTTCTTATGAGCTGCAAAGCAAAGTTTCATTAGCAGCATTTAACGGTGTGCCACTTGTTCCTCTTGGTCTCTTTTCTGCCTTGTCATGTGTGAAAAAAGGAAGTTACATTTGCTTCAGCTACATCAAGTAAAGATATATTTTTAGATGCACTGTAATACACTAGTTGCTCACTAAGTGCACGTTATAATATGTCCAATGTATGAGTTGTTGCACAGTGTTTTGTGGTACTCTGCGCCCTACCAGCAGCTTTTACCAGGTGTTGTAAGGCAGGATGTCTACCCTCAGATGATGTGATGTGTACAACTCTTATTTCATGCCTGAAATGTACGTTGGATTGTCTTGTTGGATTTCCGTACACTTCAAACTTTCCATTACACACCAATCAATATCTGCTGTTCAGACACAACGTGCACAGTACACTCCATACTGTGGGCCTGTAATCTAGTTCCACACACACACACACATTTGAAGCTGAAAGCAGACCAATTTTCTACGAGACAAAATCTACACACTCAAATTGGAAGTCTATGAAGGTGAGTTTTAAACACCTGTCTATCAGGA